TGATGGCACTCAAGATGATTTGTTCCATCATAGAAGGTGATAGAAGAAGATAGAAAAAGAAATAGGTTCTACTTTTATAACATGTAATTGTGAAAGTCTAGCATTCCTACATTTCTAGCACTGCCTCATTCCTACCCTTTATATTTGGCAGCTTCTAATAAAGATTTCATCTGGCATTGTTTGCTTCTAATCGAACCTATTACAAATGTAAATATCAAGATCATTTGGAGAATTCCACAGGATAAGTCACATAGTACACCAATTCCTCTTACCGAACACAACCCTTCATATTGATAGCAATTCCATTGCAAATGCCTCAAAAAAGGAAATAAATTCTTAACCCATACAGGTTTTTGTTTCTTTCTTAGACTTACCCAGGCAGTCCTCCAGCTTCCATTACATTAGCTAAAGTCACATCATTTGACCAGACGTCATATTGCCATTTTCGAAGACCGAGGACCCCACAAAGCACCCTGCCTGTATGCAATCCAACTCTCATGTTGAGATCAACCTCTGTGGCTTCTGCAACAGATCTGGAATAGACAGCATCAGAATATTAGTCTTTAGTCAATGACATTGCTTTTGGTTTTCTTTTTCTCTCCTTCTGCCTAAGTTAACATACATATATATATATATATATGACTGAAGAAGAGGATCTTTTAAAATTCTCAAATGATATATTCAGGTAATGTTCTTTTCCTTCACTAGTTTCAAGGCCCAAATTGCAATTCCAAAGAAATAGTTTCCTTGGTCGTATTTTAATTACTGCTGAGCCAAAATTGCTGTATTTCTAAATTTATTGACATAATACATTAAAATGTAGCTTTTCAGCTTTCAAGAAAACCCAGAAAAGGTTATATTTTGTTACATTTAATAAAATAAAATTTAAAAAAATTACAATAAAGCAAGGATAGTAAATAGATTTATCAAGAAACTTCCCTAAGACTATAACTTTTAGGTTTTATTTGCCACTTTTGCAGCATTTGCTATCATGGTCCTACAGAAACTTAGATGTTTGGGAGATAAACAAGGAAGTTTGTGGCTTTAACTCAATAACTCAGAGACAGACAGCTTAACTCTTGCAGTTTCCTGCTTATCTTGCATCTCACGCTTTTTTTTTTAAATAAATGTTCCTTTTTCCCAATGCATATTTCTTTCAGCA